TGTCCTGGACAAGCCAGATAGTGTGGTTGCTGACCTTGAGCCAGACATCCCGGAGAGTGAAGTCAAATGGGCCTTAGAAAGCATGGCTAACAATAAGGTCAGTCCAGGTGATGGCATTCAAGTTAAACTATTTAAAATCTTAAATGAAGCTGTTAAGGTGCTACATTCAATATGCCAGCAAGTTTGGGAAACTCAACAGCGGCCAGAGGATTGGAAAAGAACAGTCTACATCCCAAAGAAAGGCAGTGCCAAAGAATGCTCCAACTACCATACAACTGCACTCATTTCACACGCTAGCAAGGTTATGCTCAAAATCCTACAAGGCTTCAGCAGTATGTGGATCGAGAACTCCCAGGAGTACAGGTTGGATTTCAAAGGGGCAGAGGAACTAGAGACCAAATTGCTAACATGAGCCAGATTATGGAGAAAGCCAGAGAGTTCCAGAAAAACATCTACTTCTGCTTCATTGACTATGCAAAAGCCTTTGACTGCCTGGATCACAGCAAACTATGGCAAGTTCTTAAAGAAATGGGAGTGCGTGACCACCTTATCTACTGTATCTCCTCAGAAATCTATATGTGGGACAGGAAGCAACAGTTAGAACTAGATATGGGACAACTAATTGGTTCAAAATTGGGAAAGGAGTACGACAAGGCTGTATATTGTCTCCCTGCTTATTTAATTTATATGCAGAATACATCATGCGGAAGGCTGGACTGAAGGAATCCCAAACCGGATTTAAGATTGCTGGAAGAAATAACAACCTCCGATATGCAGATGATAACACTCTGATGGCAGAAAGTGAGGAGGAATTAAAGAACCTCTTAATGAGGGTGAAAGAGAGGGCAAAAAATTGGTCTGAAGCTCAACATCTAAAAAACTAAGATCATAGCCACTGGCCCCATCACCTCCTGGGAAATAGAAGGGGACGATATGGACACAGTGACAGATTTTACTTTCTTGGGCTCTGTTATCACTGCACATGGTGACAGCAACCACAGAATTAAAAGATGCCTGCTTCTTGGGAGGAAAGTGATGACAAACCTAGACAACATCTTAAAAAACAGAGACATTACCTTGATGACAAAGGTCCGCATAGTCAAAGCTATGGTTTTTCCAGCAGCAATGAATGGAAGTGAGAGTTGGACCATAAAGAAGGCTGACCGCCGAAGAATTGATGCTTTTGAATTGTGGTGCTGCAAGGAGGAATTGTGGATTGTAAGGAGAACTAATCTATCCATTTTGAAGAAAATCAACCCTGAGTGCTCACTGGAAGGACAGATCCTGAAGCTGAGGCTCCAATACTTTGGCATCTCATAAGAGAAGACTCCCTGGAAAAGACCCTGATGTTGGGAAAGTGTGAAGGCAAGAGGAGAAGGGGACGACAGAGGATGAGATGGTTGGACAGTGTCATCGAAGCTACGAACATGAATATGACCAAACTCCGGGAGGCAGTGAGATAGGAGGGCCTGGCGTGCTCTGGTCCATGGGATCACGAAGAGTCGGACACAACAAGGATTTACAAATCTTAACATCTGTAAGAATACTGTGGTCTCTGCAGATTTTCATGTCATCTGGTAAATTTTTAAGCATGGAACTCCAGTCTCCTCCAAGGGACAGACAATTATATATTCTATTTTTTGCTCTTTAAAACAAATGTAAAAAGTCAAACTGCTGGATAATAAAGAAAGGACAGTACTGCATGTCAAGCAGGCTTCAGAGCATGAGTTATTCCAAATCCTTTCAAAGAGGATAAGCCAAAGCAGACGCCAGAAGGGAACTGCACTAAAGCACATTGAGCAAGGCTGCAGCTGAGGAACGGACTGGTGAGTAACCTTTCTTCCTGTTTTAGGGAGCCATCTTGGATCCTGACCCTATTAATTACATTAGAAATTCTTCCAGATACTGTACTGCAGCTTTTCATGGTTTCTGGGTAGGGTTCAGTTGCCATACTGAGGTTTTACTGAATTCCATTTTAGATCTCAAGGCAGACTAATTGTCTTACGCATCCTGATGGGACACAAGCACACTGACTTTGTTCCTCTCATTGTTTATACCTTCACTCCCATGAGGGGAAGTCCTCTTCTCTGTGCGCTCAGCTCCAGCTCAACTGGCAGGATGATGTGTTTGTTTTTCCTTGTTACTGGCTTTGCATTTCATGTGTATTCCTAATTACCATGTATGGATGTGAAAACTGGATAGCGGACAAAGCTGGTGGGGGAAAAACTGATTCGTTAAAAATATGTGGTTGGAGAAGACCTTTACAAATACCCTCAGCGGCCCAAAAGACAATCATGTGGGGCCTAGATCAAATCAAGCCCAAACTTTCTCCAGAAGCAGGAATGACAAAATTGTGGGTGTCATACTTTGGAAACACAAGGAGAAAACAAGATTTGCTGGAAAAGACAATTATGCTAGGAAAAGCGGAAGGCAGCAGGAGAAGACCAAATAGGTGATACTGACTCCATCAAGGAAGCCCTGAGTTTACAATAGCTAAGCAGAGCTGTTGAGGGCAGGACATTTAGGAGGCCTCTCGCTCACTGGCTCCCCATAGGTCAGAGGCAACCTGATGAAATGCAACAACAACACTCACGAAAAAGGTCTTTCCCATTCCACACAACAGCTCTGCCTGGGCTTAAACTGGCAAAGCATAAGAGAGTTCATGGAAAGTCCATTCACACTGTTAGTCACATGGGGAGTTGGAACTATTTTTCTTAGGAATTGCTCTGAGCCAGCTTTTTTTTTCCTAGCACAGCCTAGGTAATAAAAGGTGTAATTTCTCCATGAGGTACGGAGTACATGTCTGCTGTGACAGTCTCTCCTCTTCCCCAGCAGCACTAAGAAACACAACACACTCACTCATCAGGCCCCAACTCCTCCATTTGCTCCATGTATGAAGTTATGTGTGGGTCAGGGAAGAGAGAAGGTATAGGGGAGAACACCATTGGTCCTCCTCCAAAGTCTAAACAGACACACAAACACACCAACATGATTTAGTACTGTCAATATATTTTATCTTAAAGATGCTTTACATGTAGAATAAAAAAAATATGCCCAAGGAGGACATGATGCTGCCTGTTCTTCCCAAATCCTTTTGCTGCCAGAACACAGGAAAGGGGCAAGGTTTGGTAGAGGCCTCGCCCTCTCTTTTGCACCCCACCAATTGTGTGGTGTGGTCCAAAGGGCAGCAAAAGCTCCACATCCTACCTGGGATTAGTGTCTTAAGAGATACAGTAGGTGAAGTGGGGCGGTGAGATGTAAGAGAGGAGGGACTTCGCCAGCTACCAGGGGAGCCAGACAGTGCCCAAACTACAGTACTGGGATGTAACACAGGGTAAAGGCCCAGTATATGGGGTGGTGGTGTGAGAGTGAGTGAGTGAGTGGATATAAATAATTTAAGAGAGGGAGCATCACAGATATTAACTGGGCCACCCTGGGGAGGTAGGTCAGTATGACAACATGGACCGGTTAGTCAAGACAGATATTGGCAAGGGGCCCCTCTTGCTCTGCTGTTCCTGGAGAAGGTCCCGAGTGCTGATAATGAACATCCTGAGCAACAGAATTCCCTAGAACCAGCCCTGTAAGGGGCTGTCCTCAGCTTCAGTGCAGGAAAATGCCACAGGTCTGAAAATGCACAGGCTCGTCCCCTGAGAGAGACACGGGGCAGTCTTTGCACTATACACACAGCATGACTTTCCTCGGGCTAGAAATCCAGCTGCAAAGTCGTGGTGGTGGGATGCAGGCTCGAAACTGTGCTTAGCTCTGGGAGAGTGACAGGGTGCAAGGCCATTTGGAGGGCAGGGCAGGCCAGATTCATTCAGAGTGAAGGGGAATAGCTGTGGTTGGGTCACGCTCTTATGCCAAGGATGCCATATGCAGCCGCTGGCTGTTCTGCGGTTCCCAGCCAAAAGACGCAGAGAACATGGACCAAAATAGATTCAAGCTCTGTGGCTGGTAACAGAACAAGGAGGTTGAGGGAGGCATTGTCATTGGCTTTGCCAGCTACAGGGGACAACCAACACCTGTAAATCAAGTAGAATCTCAGGGGTAAAGTTGGTGCCTCATTGCACAACAAAAGGAGACATGAAGCCAAGGAGTGAGTTCCCTAAGACAATTCATGAGAGAAAGAAAGAAATTACGTTTACAGCAAGTGGACCCACTGCAAAAGAAAAAAATTGCCAAATATATGACGTACCAAGTGATATGGGGTGGACTAAGAGAGGAAATTCATGCTGTGGGGAAAGGCCTGGTCTATGCCCTTTTAAGCCTCTGTCGGCTGAGGAGAAATATGCAGAGCCAGGATCTTTGGTTGCACTACCAACTCCCAAGACTAAAAGCCAACTCCATCTATTCTTATCCCACCCACGTCTCTTGCAGTGCCGTAGGATTCCCTAGAGTAACTCTGTGTCAGGATCTCAAGAACAGTATGTCACCCTCCTCTTCTTAAATGGAGTTGCCTGAATTTGCTCCCCTTCGCACAAGGATAGGCTTAAAAACTAGCAAGGACCAGATACATCTTCAAGAACAGGAAACTGTGTGAGCCAAGTGGTAGCACCTAGCCTAAAGGAGGAAAATAAAAACATGGATTTCAGGCTGGCGGCACACAGGGATGGTGAATCTTCCCTGTGGAGGCATTTGGGGTGGGGTGGGGGGGCGGAGAGGGAGTGTGGGAAGGAAATAGCAGCAGAGATTCTGGCCCCAGTTCATATTACACTCCAGCCACTGATGCGGGTTACTTATTGCTCGAGGAGCTCTGCAGCCCCTACGAAGAAAAGGCGGGTGGCCCGCATCAAAGGGAGGGCACAGTGGTGTGCCAGGCCCACCAGTGGCCTGCCCAAAGGTCCTGCCTGCAGGGTCCAGCAGAGCACAGAGTCCTAGTAGCGCCCAACCTTGGCATCACCAATGGCTCCCCAGACATCAAAGACAAACTCGTCAGGGAAGGCAAAGTCACCCAGCTGCTCATCCAGGGACTCGGCAAACTCATCAGGGTTACGCTTGTCCTTGCCCAGCTCCACCATGGTAGCAGCTGTACAGAAAGAAAAGTAGGAGATGAGCATCAGTTCTGGACTTCTGTTCCCACCGCCCACCTCCAGCTGACATACATTTACAAAGTCCTGGCTGGACAGGAGGAAGACCTCACTTTTTTTTTCTGATTACCAAGAAAGAACACTATAGCAAATACAGGAGAGTTTTGAAGACATGGCTGCCGCTTCTGGATTGTTAATAGTTTGGATAGTTTAGTACTGTATTCAGATGGAAGAGGGAAGAATGCAGAGCTTGGATGTGTTTCTTTTTCAGATACAAAGTCCTAGAATGTCCCTGCTAGCAAGGTCACTAATGAAGCAGCCCAGATTAAAAATGGAATTCTTCTCAACTTAGGGGGGGGGGAGTGAGAACTCACCAAGTTCTGTGTCACGGATGCCCATGTAGCTCTCCAGAAGATCATCAACCTTCTCAATGGCTTTTTCCTCAAATGCTGATGGCTATAAAAAAGAATGGTACAAGTACTGTTGGACATGCAGCAGCCTTCCTTCCTGCCTTCTTCTCTCTCTCTCATAATTAGAAATAGTCTTGATGGCCTTTCTACAACCTGCCAATAAAGGGCTGGTAGTACTAATGGAGAGTTTTGACAAGAGCTGTGGGGCAGGGATCTAGGGATGGTTATCATTAAGCTCCACCTCTTCAGAAACAACGTGACAGCAATGAGAAGGAGCTCTCATCTTGGGGTTCGACAAGGTCCAGGACTAGCTTGGCTGCAGCGACCTCCTAACCATGGCTAACAGTAGCAATTCCATCTCTTGGACCAGCCAGTTTCAATTGGGATTCACCAGCAACCCTTATGTCACCCCTCACTCTACTTCTTTGGCAAGGGGAAGGAATTTAGAGAAGAGACAGGACCTTTTACTGATTTAGTTATGAATCTTTCTCAGGCAGTTAGATATGACAATTTCAAAATGGTCTGCAAAATAAAAGCATGCAATGAACACAACATACAAAACTGGGATATGATATTTATGTTGTCCACGAAATAGACAGTAGGTTGGTCTACCACAGGCCAACCTGCTGTCTTAGGTTTAGAAAAATAAGTATGCATGGTGAAGGTGAAAGATTCCAGAATGGAATCTCCTCTCTTCTTACCATTTCTGAGTACAGAGTAAGTGAGAGTCTAGAGAAGGAGTGTTCATGTGCTGCCATCCTTTTTACGGAGGGCCTCAGGGTTTTTAGCCATCTGCTCTCACCTACTAGTGGAAGGGAGTGAAGTCCTAGTTCTTGAGCAGAGCTACTTATCTTTCTGACAGATATGGCCTGGCTTGTCGGGTACGCACCTGCTCCTCCACCGTGGCTGGCCCTTTGGCCCGAAGCCGCAGGGTTCCTCTCCCTGTGCCAAGCTGAGCACTCCCACCATGTTTGCCTCCTGCAGACCTCTGACTGATCATATCTGGAACAGAGAAAGAAAAGGCCTGTTGAGTGTTTCTTACCCAGTTTATGGCTCAGAAGGAACTTACAGTCACTCCCAAGGGCAAGAGCTATATGAAAAAGCCTACCTTGTGCTGGCTCTCAACGATACCTGGCCATTTGTGAGGTGAATGTTTGAGCTCCTAATACATAATTTTCAGCATGCCACTGCCGACCTGTATGAAGCTGACTGACCGCAGCATACCCAGGGACACAGCATATGTGTACAAGCCATGTCCCTCCAGATGTTGTTTCACTGAAACTCCCATTAAAACCTTTCAACTAGTAGTGCTAAGGCTGATGGAGGATAAAGTCTAACTGCACTCTGACAATCTCAGTCCAGCTGTGAGTCCAGACAAGCTCTTGTCCAGCATTACAATACATTAAACTACAGTGGTGCCTCGCAAGACGATTTTAATTCATTCTGCAAAAATCGTCATCTTGTGAAAAAATCATCTTGCGAGGTTCCCTATGCATCGGCCTCAAAAAAAAAAAGTCTTGCGAAGCATCAGTCAAAAAAAAAAGTGTTGCGAAGCACAGTCAGAGAAAAAAAGTCTTGCGAGGCACCATAGTGATCGCAAAAACCAATCGTTTTTCATCCCACGAGGCAATCGTCAAGTATTGGAATTTGCACCACTGTATTTGCAAGGTTAGGCCCTTGGGATACTAAGACGAGACCACCCCAACAAAATCGCAAAAACCAATCGTCTTGCGGTTTTTTCATCCCACGAGGCAATCGTCAAGTGAGGCACCACTGTATTTGCGAGGTTAGGCCCTTGGGATACTGAGACAAGACCACCCCAACAAAGTACAAAACTCAAGCAAGTGACACAAAACCATTCCAAATCACTATCTGTCAAAACAAAACATAAGACTTTCAACAGAAATGGTCTAGAGAGGTCATTCAACCTGTGAATTACTGCTGTGAAAAAAGAGACAAATTCTATGTTGGGCACAGTTAGAAAAAGAATCAAAAATAACATTCCTACAAATTCCCCTTATATGGTATTATACATGGTTCTGGCTTCCAAAAAGGATAAAGCTGGAAAAGCTAGAATATGTGTTGCTAGAAGAGGTATGGAAAAGGGCAAGTGAAACAATCAAAAGTCTAAAGCAACTCCTGTATAGCAAAAGGTTCCAATTTAGAGTAAAAGGTGAGTAAAGAGGAACATTATAGACAGCATATAAAATTATGCACAGTGTGGTGAAAGAGGGTAAAGAGAATCTCTCCCATGATAACAAGATATTAAGGGGCGCTGATGGCAGGGAATAAAGAATATTTCTTCACACTTTACTTAGTTACATTCTAGAATTTATTACCACAGAATGCATTAATGGCTGAACTTGGACAACTGGACTCAGTGGCTACTTGTCATTATGACTACATAGTACTTCTAGTATCAGAAGCAGTGTATGTCTCTGCCTATACAGTATAGCAGAATACCGATTGCTTGGGGGGGGGCATGGACAGAAGAGTGCTGTTGTGCTTGTGCCTTGTAGGTGGACTTCCTATAGGCATCTGGATGGTTGCGTTGAGAATACAAGCCTGGATTAAGCAAGTCTCCGACTTGCTTAAGTCAAAGTGCATCTACAAGGAGTGGGACATTGTAAGAATGGGAAGAATATTCAAGGTAAAAAAAATGGGGACTGAGATAGCAGGTGCCTAGCCAAAAGAAAAGGGCAAAGACACTGAGAGGAAAATAGAAACTGCATGCAGTAGCAATGACAGGACAGTATTCCCACAACAGGAGAGGGCATTTCAGGGCCCAGATGATTTCAGCTTCAAAACTAATTGAAAGGAGGCAGGGTGGGATGGGAGGACGAGCATTTAGCATTCTTTTTATTTTGCTGACCAGACCAAGGAGACACATAAGCTGCCCATGGGTTAACACTGCTGCAGCACAGAATTCCCAGCAAAAAGGCAAGCCCAAGCCCGGATGGAGAGCAACTCTCGTTCGGAATCAAGAAGTCTCCCCATAGGCAAGAACAGAAGGAACAATTCTGGGGGAAACCAGCTGAATCAACAATGAATCAACAATCCACAAGTCTAAAATAGAAGCAGGGGAAATGAACTTGTGAGATGAAAAAAAAAACCATTACTCTAACAAAGCTTCAATGTTACTATTCAGTGACTTAAGCATCTTTAACTTTTCTCATTTTAAAGTGAACCAACTTGAGCCGGCTACCTGGGATTTGAACCCCAGGTCGAAATGAACTTGTGAGATGAAAAAAAATCATTACTCTAACAAAGCTTCAATGTTACTATTCAGTGACTTAAGCATCTTTAACTTTTCTCATTTTAAAGTGAACCAACCAACCAACCAACCAAAAGCTGGTGGTAGATTTCTAGATGTAACAGGAAAGGAAAGTAGCCATAGAGATTCCACAAGTGAATCAACTCTCTTGCTGCCATTCTGCCCGGTATCATGGCACTCGCCCCCTTTCAGGAGGTATGTGTGCTCAAACAGAATTCCCCTTCACATAATCTCTGGAAGCACAGCAAGGAGATTGCATACAAGTACACCAATCCTTGATCATAATCTCTGGAAGCACAGCAAGGAGATTGCATACTACACCAATCCTTGACAGCCTGCAACAGACACTATCCAATACAAATCAAAAATGGATACTTCTCCTTTTGAGAAGTTCTATACTTATGATGAGGCTTCAATACTTTGGCCATCTCATGAGAAGACTCCCTGGAAATGACCCTGATGTTGGGAAAGTGTGAAGGCAAGAGGAGAAGGGGACGACAGAGGACAAGATGGTTGGATAGTGTCATCGAAGCTACCAACATGAATTTGACCCAACTCTGGGAGGCAGTGGAAGACAGGAGGGGCTGGCGTGCTCTGATCCATGTGGTCACAAAGAGTCGGACACGACTAAATGACTAAACAACAACAATACTTATTCTGCAAACCTGATCAAGTTGCCTTTGCTCTCTTCCTCTAAAGAGTGGCTGAGATGGTGAAACTATCATTCACAGCACCCTGATCTCCTTGCTGTTTCCCTGTTTTTGCCATCATTTTGTGGCCTGTGGCTGAGATGGTGAAACTATCATTCACAACACCCTGATCTTGCCGTTTCCCTTTTTTGCCATCATTTTGTGGCCCTTGCCACTCTCACCAGCTTGAGGTGAGTTTGGTATCTGGTAATGCAAGTTATTTCTGTAGCTCTCTCACAAAGTGGTTTAGCTGACAAAGCATTCTTTATACAGTTGCAGCTGTCTGGCCTCCTCCTGATCTGAGTGCTTTCTTCACTGTGGCTTACATGATGCTGTTGTACAATCAATTCTCTGACCAGCAGGCTGGTGATAGTAGCAGGAACCTCTCTGAGACAGCAAGACTAGACTGAACATTCTTGGTACTTGGAATCAACAGAAAAGGCATAAAGGCTTTCAACACATAAGAGTCTCACTGTGGCCATTTTTATTTCAGTTGTATCAAATATTAACCCTACAAAATATTTGCTCACAAAACACTGTACTGAAGTTCAAATCTTTTTTGCAGAAATCATACCTTGGTTTTGGAGATTCAGATGTTAATATCAGAAACCAGATTTTACTTCTATGGAGAAGGAGTGTTCGGTGGCTTTGCATTATCGTTTATGAAGCATGTCATGTGATTCAGTTATTTTGTTATAATCACCATGTAACAACGATACATTAAAGTGCTACTTATGCATCAAGCCACATCTTTCCACATGTTTGTAGGCTGGAGTCAATAATATTTATTTTTAAATTGCCACTATTTAATTGCCATGCCCCTCACCATCACCACTACTGGAATCAAGCCTCGTAGGTTTGGGTCAATTTAAGAGCCAAACACATCAGACTGCTTACATATGCAGAACACATATGGATCTTCAGTATAAAATTGCCTTGTAATAAGAAAAGGGGATGTGAACCTGCACCTTTTATATGTCCACTTAGAATTTTCAATGTAGTAAAGTTAATTTATTGTCTTCATTGGCCTTTTTGAGTCATTTTTATCAGGCATTATTATAGAAAAAACTAGGAACGTTCCACTTCCATCTGCTGGAAGAATTCCATCTAGTTTTGCAGATCAAGGATATTATTCTTTGTTTCTTCACTATATTAACATACAATTCTGTATCACCAGATGTTGCCTCAAATCTAATGCTTTTTAATGAAGTCAGCAACTTCTCATCTGTGACAGCTTGTTCATATATTCATGTTTCTCAGTTCATAACTGCATCATCTTCTGAGGACTTGCATGTGTCAATTAAACATTTCTCCAACTATAAACAGCGGTGAGTGTTTGGAAAGAGATACATCTTGTGTTCAGGGAAGTAAACAAAAATCTCATACATAGTACTTTATTTTGAAAATACTTTGAAGGGGTAGGAGAGTACCTGGAAATTGTTGTGCAAGTACTCGCAATTCTGACAAGCATAACTGATAAAAAAGATCTGAATGAGAATATTCCATTTGCAAAGTTCATTCCCATGAGGCATGCATTTCTCAAGGTTATTGAGAGCCAATTATATCTGTTTTCACTTCCGCTCCACAACAAACAATCACAAGCTCCTTTGACGTCATAATATCAGATGTTCTTCCTTAGTTGTACATACATTAAAATATTTTGTGGCTTGTTCAAGGACAGAAACACATTCTGGCAAATTGCTGCCATCTATAAACTAGAATATATTATATTAAAATGTAGCTGGATAAAAAGCAAATACTGCCATGAGAACTTAAGATGGAATACCTGCTTTGAAGGTTTTATTATGAAAATTTGTTTAATTGAATACAATCAGATTTTGAACACATACATGCAGATATACTCAGAAATTTGTTCTAATAATTTTGTTCTGACAACTTGTCCTTCTAATTTCTTGCCTTGGAGATGGTGAGAGAAAATTTAGCCACTCAGATGATAATTTTTTAAAATTGCCATTTGTAGCCAAACCAAATGTATCCTGGAGTCAGGTTCTGGATCATAATCTCCTACTCCAAACTGG